ATGCTGACAGAATCTCGAACACCTACCTGACCTGGATCTGTGCAGATCCAGTCGGTGATTTATTGTTTCAGAATCGCCCGATCATTTGCGCCCCCGCTCACCTCCGTTAATCACTTTGTGTGTGAAAGAGTGCAGACGAGGCGCAGACATGTTACACTCATGTCTCCTACAGTAGAGAGTCCACACCTTAACATGTGCGTACATGTCCGCCTGTAGTCTCAGCACTTTAGTGGATCCTGTGTGAAGCGCGTTGCCTGGAGCGGCTGGGGTTTTTTCTCTGAAAAGAAGGGAGGTGAAACAAATTTCTTCTTTCTTCCTATTTAGTTTTTCCTGTTTCCTGTGCAGCCAGCAGGCGAAACCGTGAAAACAGAACAGAAATGGAAACAGACAGAGAGGTCTTTTCAGGCTCTTTGGCCCGTAATCAGAATGGGATGTGGGTTTGAAACTAAAGTGAACAAAGTCTGTGTTTAACCTGCCCGGGATGTAGACTTGGACTTGTCTAAACATGGTGGATTCCCGGTAAAGCGGGGCTGGCTGATGAAGAGTTGAAAAGCTCTGATTTTAGAAAACACACAGGATATAATGAGATGGTGAAAGCCTGGCTCAGAAAACAGACTCTGTGTGATGTTCAGTGACTAATTTCTGCCAAACTCGGCACGGCCAAGCGTTGAGCTCCCAGAGTGAGAGCTAACCTGGCTGAACTTTTCCTTTATTACTGAAATAGTTCATATGAAAAGCAGCAGTGCAATAGGCACAGCTGTAAAAGCCATACAGTGGAGTACCAGGCACCAGTGAATGTGCTGAGGCTTCACTTCTTATAGAAATACACTCAGTCCTCCACTGCAGCTACACATCACAGTTTGGATGTGTGCAAAATAAAAGATTTACCACTGACACACCTGTGAATACACTTCAGAGTTTTTAAAGCTCATCTTAATATATAGAGGCTTAAATCTCCTACAAAAAGACAGGTAAGAAAAAAGCATAAACATCCAGAGAGACCACAAAGCCGAGGGTCAGTGTGAATCCAGAGCAGATACGGCAAGATGTGTTTTTAACAAAAGTGAATGTTTGAAATGATGATGGGAGAATGTAGCTCGCTCGTGCAAAGTTGAGGGAATTATGACCTGAAGCTCCTCTCAGATAGTTGACTTTAAAAACTCTCTCATAGCAGCAGAAAACCAAACCCTAACCCAGGACAGTTTTCCATTTTTCAGTCCCTCTGAAATCAGCTCAGGTCTAGAAAAGTCACTTACATTTCTGGTAGGGGTGTCTTGATATGATATTGATATCAGATTATATCAGCCTGCATCTAAAATCTCAGATATCAGCACAATGATACAAACAGTCCATTCCAGACTCCGCTCTGGCACCTCTATCTCGCAGCAAAGTAGTTTGACAAAGTAGACAAAGTAGTTCACAGACTAAGAGGTTTAGCAGTATTTTTCGTTAAAGTCCGAAAATGACGTTGCTGCTGAGTGCAAAACTTGTCATGCAGAAGTTTGTGCTAATATCAGATCAATATCAGTATTGGCCAATACTGAAGGCTATAATATCAGTATGGTATTGGTGGTAAAAAAAAAAAGTTGTATTGGGACACTCTTAATTTTCTGGATCATGTTTATATTTGATTTTCTTTTTGCATGTCACACTTTCAGCCCAGATTTATTGATACACTGACAATAGAGTTCACAGACAAAGAGGTTTGGAAGTGATTTTAAGTCCATGCAGTGATTCCCACTACAGAGTCCTGTCTGTTTTAATGCAGTGCTGAAGATCAGGATCAGTATCCAGTCCTGGTTTTGGTCCTTGTCTTTTTTAGTGCAGAGATTTCAGCAGATCTTTGATATTACAAACTGTGAGAGACTGTGTGAGTAAACCGTTCACAGTCCTCAGAGTTCAATTACAAAGAATAAGAGGATTTCCTCATCTACAGAGTGATGAGGGTCACTTCTCAGGGACTCGGCCTCTCCAGAAGGCTGTTGTTAGAGACTCATGTTACTTGGATGTTGAAAATTAATCAGATTAGTAGGAGGATGGTCCTCTTGATGTTGTTAGGCGGCATCATGTTTTCTCTGTTGTTGTTGATAGGTTATGCTGTCTTTGCAGTATTTACAACTCAACAAGAGGTTTAAATGTTTTGCAAACCACCAAATCAGCTTTTATTCACATTTAACACAACTTTTTCTGTTTTCTTTATGTTCCAAATCTGTGTGTTTGTGAAATCCAGCCTCCCATTTCACTCCTGCAGGGTGTAATTAACACATTAAGCTGCTTCTCTTTTGGCAGTTGCTTAATCCTTGAAATCCTTGAAAATACACAACAGTTACTTCTTAAGGTGATATCATGGATTATCTAATATGATTATAGGTTTGTGTCAGCGAGTACATTTCTCAAAACAGTATTTAGACAGAAACCTGTGATTTGCTTTGTCTGCTCGCATGCAGAGAATCTCCAGGATTAATCCCAGCAGCGTTCAGATTCCTCAGCCTCACACGGGGCATGTTAGGGCTCCCAGCTGCTGCTTCATGCTCTGTTTTCTATGCCATGCAATTATGCTGGTTCCCACCGGAGGTTCGGATTGGGTGGAGCTCAGCAAGGAGTTAGCCGAGGCATTATCTGCTCCTCACTGAGCAGAACTTACAAATACAGTCTGCAGAAAGAAAAAAAAAGCAAAGTCGCACGCAAACACAGAGCAGCAAAGCACAAAAGAAAATAAACCATAAAAGTGAGTGCTGCAGAGGAAATGGCACTGCTTAACTGGATAAAGCACAAAGAGACACCACCCATAATTCTGTTACCAGTTCACGTGAGAAATGAGAAATGAGCGCAGAGTACAGTGAGACTTCACAGATTTCAGAGCAGAAACACAAGAGTCTTTGAACCCCTCCAAAGATAAACATCAAACTGATCCCAGAGCAAAGAAAACATCCAGCCGATTACAAATGAAGCCCCTGAAGACATTTGGAGCCTTTCTCCCTCTTTCATCCATCTAGATAATGCTTTTTATTTCATTTCATGGCTTACAGTCGGCGTAATTCAGAGAGGATGGGGTCGGGAAAGACAGAAACAAAGAAAGAAGGTGTAGGAGGAAATCTGTTTATAAAGTTTTTGTTTTCACACTGGTACAAAAATCAGACATGCACTGAGTTGTGTTGTATCTGCGGCTGAACTGTCTGGGCTGAACGGTGAGGAACAATGGGCTGAGAAGTGAACAGACTGAAGGTTTCAGGCGCTCGCTGCTCGTGACAACAGAGTCGTTGTGATGGTTGGCTGGTAATGCCTGGCACCGAGGCCCTGCTGTCTGTTGGCCTGTCATACCCTCTCTGTGCTGTCAGCTGCCACGGCTGCTTTATTCTGTGGTCCAGAGCGCCCTCAAGTGGCAGGAGAGGGAACTGCTGGTTTTTAATTTCTTTGTGGTGAACCTGTTTCTGCTTAGTGACTGTGATCATCTGACATGTGGAGGGATTTACAGGATTAGTTTTTTAAGTATCATCTTTGAAAAGACATAATTATATCATTAAAATATCAGAGTATCTTTACTGAAGTGCAGTGAAAATAAAGTAGAAGCTCTCAGATTCAATATAAGTTTACATTAAAAGAAATTACATTAAGTATGAAGTTGTTTCTGATTGATCAGGTGTTCAGATTTATTCAGTGTTCAGCGGCTCTGAGGGAAAAAACTGTTCAGTTAATTTTGGCTTTAATTATATCAACTAAAGATTTAATTATCGGACAGTTTTGTCTGAACATCTCTTCAAATAAAATCAGTATTAAAGGAGCATACCACCAATTTTCACTCGTTAAAATGTAGATTAGTCCCCTTTAAAGAGGCATCAGCATGCTAAGGTGTATATCATTAAGTCTCACACTAATATATCACCTGAAAGATATCACTAGAGTTCATTTTGCTTTATCTTTCTAACTGTAAAGGGAAAGATCATGTAAGAAACAGGAAACTACAGTTTGAGAGAGATGCATATTAATCAGACAGAGAGATTTATTACTGTCAGTATGCTACAGGGATGCATTATGGGAGTTGTAGGATCCAATAAAGATGGTGCACACTACAGTAAAAGGTCAGGATATCTTCAATTCCTCATTGCTCAAAATACTGGGACTGTACCTTTAAATATCTTTGAATATTTCTCGTCATTCTGAAATCTAATAATCCAGATAATTCGGTGCTGCAGTCCTGTGTATGTTGCTCAGTTTATGAATTTGAATGAGTTCAGTAGATCTGTATAATCATGAACCAGGTGAACAAATAGAGAGATCTTCCTGCAGCGTGCACAGAGATGATGAATCTTCTCTTTCTTTAAGTGCACGTCTTGCAGAATATCTCAGCACTGGTTGCTGTTAAGAAACTGCCAGAACATAAACACCTCCTACACAAACAGCCTCTCTCACACACACACACACACATGCACGTACACAAACAAACACTCTTTCCTGCCTGATTCCTCCTCAGCTGCTCTCATGACTGCAGCAGCCTGACATGACTTCACACCTGATAAGAGCTCTGCAGAGCACGGCTGTATAATCTTCCATCAGCACTAACGTGAGCCTTCACTCCTGCACCTCCTCACCCCCTCTCTCTCCCTCTCTCTCTCCCCCTCTCTCTCCCTCTCTCCAGTGTTTTAAGCTTTTCTGCTTGTGCAATAGTCAATAATTCATTGTCAGCGTCGCTGGCTACAGGTCCTTGTGCGGAGAAAGCAGCTCTGCTCGTCATTCCTGCAGTGTGCACTCTGGCAGCAGCTCCTGAGAGACAGAGAGCGAGAGATCGCACAGACCCAAAGAAGCTGCAGAGCACACACACCCACCCATCGAACCGAGGACACACTGGACTACCCTCACTCCTCCTCCCCTCCTTCCTCTCGCACGCTGTCTCCTCCAACTCTGAGCTCAGCGCTATCAGAGCTGCTGTGGTTGTAGGCAGGCGGATCATTGCTTCCCAACAAACCACTTTCCGTACAGGAGGAACTTCAAGGAGCTAAAGGATGCTGGACCCCGGGCAGAGATGGACGAGGCTGATCTGCTTCTCGCTCTTGTGTCTGTGTGTCTGCCTGCCAAGGGAACTGAACGCCAGGAGAGCTCCCAAGATCCCTCGTTGTCCTTCGACCTGCTCCTGCACCAAAGACAGTGCCTTCTGCGTGGACACTAAGGCCATCCCCAAGAGCTTCCCCCCTGGAATCATCTCTCTGTGAGTCAAACCTTTGTGTGTGTGTGTCTGCGTGTTTTCCTAACCTGCTCCAGGTCTCAGCAGCATGCAGGCTGGTACAGATGGCTACATCACTGATGTCACCCTCCATTATGTAATGATGCATGAATCCCTGCTTGTCTTATCATCACCTCAAAGTGAGGACAGGTAGGTTTGATGGTGCTGCTGGTCTTTTCTCCATGAAACAAGTCAAGAGATGTTCAAGACTACAGTAGACAATGAGAACAGCAGAAATGTGCTTCAGCTGCCATTTGTTGAACTTAGTTCAGGAAGCACAGCAGTATAATCCTGTCGAGCTCCAGGGAGGAACGCTAACAATAGATGCTCTATCTCTCTGCAGGAGACCTGCCTCTGCCCTCAGAGATTTAATCTCAAAGAAGGAGCAAAGACACATTCAATCAAAGGAGGAAACGCAGAGGAAGGTTATTCTGTGCTGAGAGGCTTACAGGGGGCTCCTTCACATCTGATATGGGCTTAAAGTTGGAGTTCAAACAGTCAAGGGAATAACGGAGCTCAGGCGGGTCGAGGTGCCCTCATTTTACAAAAGAGAAGAAGTGAAGAAGAAACTTGTGCGTCCTACTTTCAGAGAGATTCAGACACCCTTGTATTTAATCTTGAAGGACGACCATGTCCTGAGAGAGGACGGGCTTCAGTGGAGACGAACAGAACTCCTCAGTGTTGTGAATAAGACATGAAACACATGACGTCACGACTCGGAGCTGTGGCGCCGCCTGTGTCATCACACTTCTGATAATAACTCACTTTGTTTTGTCCGATCAGGACGATGGTGAACGCCGCCTTCACGACCATCCCAGAGGGAGCTTTCTCGCACCTTCACCTGCTGCAGTTCCTGTGAGTGTCCCCGCCCACAACACTCTCGCCTTTTTACACCAACATCTCCTTAAACGTGTCTACATGAATATTGTTGCCTCAGCACTTCACGTCACACTGGTGTTTTCACGGTGGGGGGGTTGCAGACGTCTTTTGTTTCGCGGTGACCTCAGCTCCTTGAGATGAATGGTTATTGAAAGCAGTGGTGACATAGCAGTAATAAGAGTAGAGAGTGTCTGTATCAGCGACGTAGGCGATCACTGACTCCCTTCAGTTCAGCTCAGACGGACAAAGAGACGTTTATCTGCTCAGATGCAATCAGGAGTGTGTGCTCATGTGCGAGCGAGTGTTTGTGTGTTTGGAGGTCAGTGTGTGTAAAGTCAAACTGCTGATGTTTGTTCTTACAGTCACTTTATTTTTACATCTGTGCTCAAAGTTTAGAGAGACTTTTATAAAAATGTTTGATGCACTTTTATATATGAAAAATGAAGTCCTGTTTAGATCTTCAGCTGATGTGATTTCTGTATCTTCTCGACAGGTTACTGAACTCCAACACATTCACCATGATCGCTGATGATGCCTTTGCTGGTCTGTCTCACCTGCAGTACCTGTAAGTGTCTCACCTGAGCTTGAGCTGCTGATACTGAATGGTTTAAGGTGCTCTTTATTAGTTTTTCATGTACTGTAGATAAAATATATTCATTTTATCTTTGTTCGTGTACTTCAGAGGCGTTTAAAACATCCCTCTTTTGATCGTGAAGCACCTGAACCGTTGTGATAATGATCCTTGTGCAGCAGATACACAATCGTAGAAAACATACAGAACAAAATGAAGACAAAATTCATCAACATGTTGAATCCTCTCTTTCTTTGAGGGAGTCAGTCAGTATTGATGTCCAAGCATATATTTCTTTCTCCACCACAGTACAGTCAGTATTCCTCCTGATGATCTAAAGCTCCATCCTCGTCCTCATCCACTCTTCCTCACAGCTGTTACAGCCTTATTTGGTCTGATGTTACCAGGAGCTCATGAAGGCTTTAGATGTAAAACATGCCTGTGTTACTTAAAGCTCCTGTGAGGAGTTTGTACCTGTTAATGAAATTAGCAGCACTGCCGTTTTATGACCTGAATCAGCGAGTGAAACAGCTGGTGAGGAGATTGACGGTTTCTAAACTGTGTTTCTTTAAATTCATCGACAGCTGGGAAGGGTTAGGTGTCGGATGAGACAACTTTCAGCAAGTATGAGAGAAAAAGTGTGAGAGAGAGAGGTCTTATAGTGGTGGGAATAAACTGGAGACAGACTGAGGAGTTATCATCAGCTTTAATCATTCACAGTCAGAACATGTTAGATCACAGAGGGGTCATTATTTAACAGAGAAGCAATAGAGAAGATGGCAAAACGTATGAAAATAACAAAGAGCTTCATAGACTCACTGTATGATGAACTCACTTATTACATAAAGCTGAACAAGTGTTAATAAACACCCACATAATTATAATAATGATGATATATTAATTATTATAGAACCGTGGGTATGGCCCTGCTAGAAGACCTTTAGAGCAGTCAAACTCAGGGATTTACATTGGGTTCTCAGATTTAGTTTGGAGCCGCTTTAAGGCTTTAAAAGCAACAAAGAGTTTGCTTCTTCCTTAAAAAAGATTGGGACTAACCTGGTAAAATAAAGTTAAATTCATTTAACACAAAAAAGAGGCTGTGGATGTGTGATAAAATGTGTTTAAAGCCCAGCAGCAGAATTTTGAATTAATTGTTGTCTTTAGATATTGTTGTGCTGGCAGGTTTAAAGTGTTTTACATTTGTCAAGTTTGGGAGGAACAAATGCATGAATGTCTTTTTCTTAGTCTGCAGACATAGAGAGGAAAATCCTGATTGAAGTTGAGTGTCCCAGCTGAGAAAAACAGACTACATGACTCTAGGAACCTGGGTATAAAAGTCAAAAAAGACCAGGTCCAAAGGGGGTTATACTGTTGACTTCAGCTGTCGTAAAATCAGTGTTTTCAGACTTTTACACGACAGAGAGATGAGTGTTTTCATCATAACAGTGAGAAGCATGTAAACAGAGAATAAGAGGGGACCGAGGATAGAACCCTGGGGGACTCCACAAGAGAGAGAAAAGGCAGTACTAAACACTACAGAGACAGACCTCTTTGACAGGCAGCAGAAAATCCACATTCAGTATTTGGTATCTCTGGATCGGTGTGGTTTTCTCTTTTACCTTGACCTGTGTGGACTGCAGAGTTCCTGCAGTCTCCCTCAGAAAAGTCAGCTGATTGTCTGTCAGCTGATTTATAGAAGTTTGGTCGTTTCTACCAGCAGAACATTCCTGATGGCAGATTTGGACATTTTTGGTCATGTATCACGTGTAATAGTTTTGTTCTCTTTGGGTTTGGGAGGATTTTGATGAAGTGGTACTTTTTAATCTTTTTGCTGAGTCAGTCTTTTCTGAGTGTAAGCTGATTTTCAACAACAAAAAAAAAAACTCTCCCTCCTTTCTCGTTAAAGTCGATCCATCACTCACAGAGGCGCCTGGAAAGTTCTGCACATTTCCGTGTTTCTGAAGCGAGCTGATAAAGATGTTGTCTGACACTTACCGTCTGGCAGGAGTCACAAACATATAAAACGTCTTGTACATGAGTGGTTTAATTTTCTCCTAATGGCCTTGTTTACTTTTGTCGCTCATTAAAATCCTTTAATTCCAGTCTGTTTGAAAAGAAGCTAAACCTGAACAGGGGTGTAAGCTGTGGCAGATTTCCTACTTTGCACTTTTGTTTTGCCTCGCTGTTTACTTTAGTGAGTGATTAGTAATAAGAAGGTCTGACAGGTGCGTCGAAGTGGGTTTATTTCTCTCTTATGTAATGGAAAATCTGACTCCAGGCTTTGCTGTAAAATTGAAGGATTGGACCCTGCAGTACAGCAAAGAGCAGCAGAAGAAAAGCGGGGGATAAATCCTCCTCTGACAGCGAGCATACTGCCTCTGTAGTGTGATGAAGCTGAATCTGCCTTTCTGTGAATTGATGGGCTTCAGAAAGTCTTTAGCTGATGACTCTGAGCGTGCAGCCGTACCTCAGGGCGGCTCGCCGTGTGGCTCCTGGCTGCAGACCAGCCATCAGGCCTCACTGCTTCACTGTCACTATCACTGCTACTCACTCTGCATGCTAATAAAGTCGTGTTTTTATATCTGGACACCTCCAGAGTCTGCACGTGATGGATGTCCTCCATTATCAACGGGCTGATAGCAGGCAGTACAGGATCAAATGACGCTGACACTTTGATAAAACAGGCTGCACAGCGTTATCAAAGACAGGAAATGAGTTTTTACTGTTAGTCAGATCACTTTGCATCGATTCTCCTCAAAACTTACTTAAAAATCCTCGTTATTCTGTCATTTTTTCCACCTTCTTGCTCGATAATCCCTCAGATGCAGACTGTGCAAATCCTGAAATAATTCTTGCTTGCAGCGGTGCTCCTGTCGCTCTCTGCACTGACAGCACAACCTCCCTGAATAAAGAGGACAACATTACATAATACAGGCCCTATTTCATAGTTTGTCATCACTGCGGGACATCTGAGCGGTTTGTTCTCTCTTCGCAGGTTCATTGAGAATAATGACATCCAGGCTCTTTCAAAGTACACCTTCAGAGGACTCAAATCCCTGACTCACCTGTAAGTATCCTGCTGAAAACCGAGATTGAAAGTGTTTGATAAAAACTTGTCCGGAGGCAAATAAGAGGGACTACTTCTGTTTTTTTTACTCAGATCTCTGTCAAACAACAACCTGCAGCAGCTGCCGAGAGATCTCTTCAAACACCTCGACATCCTCACAGATTTGTAAGTGTGACCTTGCTGAAATCAAAGCAGTTCGCTGACATCCCAGGAGCTTCAACCCCACGATCTGTCACCATAAAACTCTGCTTTTCTCAAGTCTCCCAAGGGCTCAGAAGAGTCCTAAACCCATCTGTAAAACTGTCACATTTTCTTTTTGAAAGGTTTGGAGGATTCTTGTTCCTGCTCTCCAGACACAGACTCATATGTTTTCCCTCCTCTTCCTTCTCCTCAGGGACCTGCGGGGAAACTCTTTCCGCTGCGATTGTAAAATCAAGTGGCTGGTGGACTGGATGGAGAAGACCAATACTTCTGTTCCCGCGATCTACTGTGCCAGTCCGTTTGAATTCCAGGGACGGAGAATCCACGATCTGGCGCCGCGAGACTTCAACTGCATCAGCGCAGGTTGTATATCGTCCCTCCTGAAACATGCCCCCTCAAAAGTTCTGCTTAATTAATTTGTTCCCATTTTTTTTTTTAGATTTTGCCGTTTATGAGACCTTCCCTTTCCACTCTGTGTCTGTGGAGTCCTACGAGTTTAACGGGGATCAGTTCGTCGCCTTTGCTCAGCCTGACTCAGGGTTCTGCACCCTGTATGTGTGGGATCATGTGGAGATGGTCTTCAGGAAGTTCAGTAACATCACGTGTGAGTTTCTCTCTATAATCACATCAGTATTATAAAAATCTTTGCTGCAAAAATCAGTTTTTCTCTTTCTGCAGCTCGCTCTGCTGTGTACTGCAAACCAGTGGTGATCACCAGCAGTCTCTACATGGTCGTGGCTCAACTGTTTGGTGGATCTCATATCTACAAGTAAGACTTTCAATGTGTCGAATTCCTCTCATGACTGTAAAAGAGTAGCTGGACTCTTTGGCTCAAGACTTACAGGATGAAAACAACACCAGTCTTCTAAAAATAGACCGCTGGTGAATAAGACTGATGTCTTTTTTAACTGTCACTGCAAACACAACAGACTAATCCAAACTAATCCTAAAATCTAAAACAGATCGCTGAGTCACCTACCTGGTGGATATTTCCTACTGCTCCTGACAGCTTTCAGCAGTCTTATTGTTTACATCTTCAGCCGGTGTGGCCTTCATTCTTTTGTATCTCTGTGTTAGGTGATGTTCACCTTTGTGACTTGTTAAAACAGCCGAGTCCATGGAGCACAGAGGCTTTTATTTTGGTCACTGTTGACCTGCTAAACATGAACCAACATCCTGTTTGCTTCCTTCTGCAGAGTCCTTTGGTTTTTGACGGTTTCTCTGTATGTTTAATTTACTCTTGTGCGCCGCGTTCCTACTGAAGCTGGATGTGACGTTTTTGCCTTAGACAGGTGTAGGCTGTCTAAGGTAGTCTGTGTGAGGGTGCAGTGATTGGACGACAGATTTTATCTAAGGGATATGATTGGTGTATTATTGGCTGCTATGACAGATCTAGGATCAGAAAGAAGCAGAACGTGGAATTTTCCAAGATCAGCTGGGACACCGAGTAAACTTGTTAAGCTTACATCTTACAGGATTTTATTGTATTTGTTTGCTTATTTTTGTCCATCTTTCGCCAAGTGGAGGGAAATCGACCTACTGTCCTCCAGAGAACAGTCTGGCATAAAACCCTGGACAGAGACAGACTTTCCCTCTCGTTTTCGGTGTTATATTTAGTTAATTTGACAGTCATTACTCTTAAAGAAAGTACATCTCCATGTTTCCTGATATGTTGACTGTCACATTTAATCATGAAATAGCTTTAGGGAGATTGTAACGGCCTCTGTGTTACTTCAGGTGGGAGGAGGACCCTCAGCGCTTCGTTAAGATCCAAGACATCGACACCACCCGAGTGAGGAAACCAAACTTCGTGGACACCTTCCAGATAGATGGAGAGTGGTACTTTGTTGTAGCGGACAGCTCTAAAGCAGGATCTACAAGCATTTATCGCTGGAACAGCAACGGCTTCTACTCCCACCAGTCCCTTCACCCCTGGCACCGAGACACCCACGTGGAGTTCCTGGACGTCGCGGGAAAGCCTCACCTCATCCTCTCCAGCGCCTCTCAGCCTCCTGTGGTTTACCAGTGGAACCGAAACCAGAAGCAGTTCGCTTTCTTCTCCCAGATCACCGAGCTGGCCGACGTGCAGATGGTGAAGCACTTCTGGGTGAGGAAAGTCCTCTACCTTTGCCTCACCCGCTTCATCGGCGACTCCAAGATCCTTCGCTGGGAGGGGCAGCGTTTTGTGGAGATCCAGACTCTTCCCTCGCGGGGTTCAATGGCGGTGTATCCTTTCACAGTGGGACTCCGGCAGTACCTCATCCTGGGCAGTGATTTCTCCTTCTCCAGAGTCTACCTGTGGGACGACCTCACGCAGCGCTTCCAGCCCTTCCAAGAGCTCAACATGAGAGCCCCGCGGGCGTTCAGTCTGGTCTCTGTCGACAACAAGGACATCCTGCTGGCCGCCAGCTTTAAAGGAAACACCCTGGCCTACCAGCATCTGGTGGTGGATCTCAGCGCGAAGTAGACATGTCGCGTTCAGAGGGGAGGAGGGTGTTTCAGAGTTTATTTCAACACGTGCCAAATAAATGAAAGACTGTCAAATGTAAAGCCATGTAACAAGAGGCTGCTGTTTCACCTGTGTCTGAAGCCAGGCAACTAATTAAACAATTAATCTATTTTTATGCACTATCCCGTAACATCTGAACGAAACGATGTGATAATACACAGCATCAGCAACATGCCAACACAAGTGTCTTGTCACTGCCGCCTCACAGCTTCTGTTCCACAGAACACGTATCTAAGCCAAGATTTTTCAGAGTACTTCCTGTATATTTGTGCTTTACTAACGCGGAGACGACGTGCATGTGTGTCTACGGATTTATTCGCCGGTCCTGCAGGTCGGAGATTTACACAGCCGAGTTGATCTGTGTAGGATAATATTGCATGAGATGATATAACTATGTAAAATAAGCAATACTATTATACTAACCAGTGCAATATTTTAAAACCCATGATTATTCTGATCATGGGATTGGTGATAGGTTTGATTCTGCTTGGATTTAATGTTCGTTCTACAGTCAAATCACTGGAGAGAAGCCGATACCACACCTGAGCAAACTGAGCGAGAGGTTCTGATGCTTTTGTTGTGACTGAAGTTCTTAAAAACTCTGATTTTGTTAAAATGAAAACATCCCAGATCGTCACCAAACTTTAAGATATTGGAGAAAATCTGTTCCTGTTATTTTAGTTTTATATGATGTAGTGGACTTTACTAATGTGAGAATGATCTGCATGTGCATTCACTGATTTATATATGTGATAAAAATGGATTTAAAGGGACTGACTTTCAAACTAATGTGGCTGTGGTTAAATAAGAGAACTTTTGGCTGCAGCAGAATTTGTCTATAATGTCAGATGTAGGAGGTGTTGCGTAAAATAAGAGTTTCATTTATTTATTTATTTATTTGGTAAAATAAAATTGGAGAATGTATTGAGTTCATAAAAAGTTCTTATCCTGTTTTCAAATGAAATGTAAAGTCACAAACTGTAATTTCTGTGTATATTTGCACATGAAAGTCTGATGGAAAGAGGGAATTATTAAATCTAATTTATGGTCCCTGAAAAGCCCCAGAGTAATTTACTGAACAGATTTATCAATCATCATGATAACCTCCATTACTAACCTCTTGCAATCACTGTAAATTTCCTAGTTAGAGTCTTAGAATGTATATAGAATGGACGCCGTCTCCCTCCCCGCTGGGTGAACCCACTCTGAGAACAGCACCCTCTGGTGACGGGCTGCAGTATAGGTCATAAATCCTGCCTCCTCCAGCAATCCCTATGGAGCTGTGGACAAACTTTAGAAATTTATTACACAGAATATAAATGTTTCTCCCCCCTGGTTGTGATGTTGACATGTAGTTACTGTCAGACTGGTTTGTGTTCAAGTCCTCTTTTTTCTGTACAGCTCCATTTTTAAAAGTTATTAGGGGGTTCATGTTTTCTATGATTGACACCTGATACAGTCTATTGGTGTTCAGGGATTGCGTAGCTCACCCCCGGGGGATACACAGTTTGAGCCGAGTGTCATCACAGCGACTCTCTGTGACTTTCCCGCTGAATGCGTACAACGCTACTGCGCAAGTGGTGGAGTGAATACAACGCTACGGCGCAATATTGGTTTCAGGAAGTCGAGGAAAAACACGGAATTACTGAAAGCTTTTTGGCTTCAAATCAGTATACTGGTGGAAAGCAGAACCAAGTTGTCCATATGTTGTGTTCCAGTTACCTCGGAAGTCAGATGTCAGAGCTGGGAATGACGTTAGACCTGAGTTGAGGGCATTCCAGTTAACAAGTCGGAAAACCAAGATGGACGCCTACAGTTACCCGTTGTTAGCTTCTGTTCACAATTGTCAGCCTTTGTTAGTCGTTGCTAGTTGTTGTTAGCGGTTGTCAGCTGTTGTTAGCTATACCAGTTGTAAACAACTTATAACACAGTATTTTACTCTTACAAACGCCATAGCACCATGTTCACAGTTAGACGTTGGGCAGTACGACATAAACCACTTATTTAATTTCACAAAAACAAAACAGAAGTGCTAATAAATAAAACATTACGAGAGCTTTCACTGTTACCCTTTACTGTTGATGCACTGCGCTGCCAACTTTCCAATCCGGAAATCCGACTTCAAGGGGGCGTTCCAGATGAATTTCCGACTATGAGCTCGGAAATCCCGACTTCAAGTACAACTGAAACGCAGCATTAGTTAGTCTATGGGCACAACTCAAAACATAGTACTGGTTGTTTACTTGAACTAAAAGTGTCTGTTTTGACTGTGTAACCTCATCTGTTATCATTGCGAAAATGCAGGAATCACAGCGTGTCAATAATGTTTTGGCTTCATCTTCAGGGAGCTGTCGTGTCGTTCGTGGTACAGTCAATGGAAATAGTCAGAAACTTATTTTCTGTTTCCGGGGGAGAAATGCGCGCACTTCTTACGCAGAGATGCGCATACCCGTCGCAAATATGATCTTCTTGAGCAGACATTAAGGCGAGTTCCGCGTACGCTTGTTTTTAACTGCAGAGTGAGCGCCTGGGCGGTGTTAAGCTGTTTCCCTTTACAGACGGATGTTCCCGCCCTTTTAAAAGGCTCTGTGTAATAAAGCGCGCGCCTCCTGCTGTTGTTGATATCTGAAACGTTAGCAGCTCGTGTTAGCCCAAATTTATCACATCATGGTTAAGAGGCAGAGACATGAGGGTCACAGGTCCGAGTTTTCCCTCAGAGGACGATCATCCAGCTGAGATGTAAGAGGAGCTGAAGGAGGCTAAGCTAACATTAACTTTGCTCTAAGTTAGCTAACATCAACTGTGAGTCTCTCTAACCAGAGTTACGGTTTTTAAAAACACGTCAAACTGTCCAGATATGAGTGTCAGCGTGTCTAAATCCGCGGACATGTCTCTGCCTCCGGACTGGGACGACGATGAGCGGATGGAGTTCATGTTTTCAGGCTTTAAGGAGAACCGGGAGGTGAACCCCGCAGACTGGGACAGTAAGACGGACTTCTGGACCCCCCTGATCATCAGGTCCTGCAGGGACCGGGGTTCGGTCTGTGTCAGTCTGCAGGATCTCAACAAGACCTTCAAGAGGAAAGAGAAGTCCCCTCTGGGTTTGGGGACAGTCATCCAGTCCATGTCCAGGTACCTGTCCTCCTCCTGTCCCGGTCTCAGCGGTCTGTTATTGTCAGTCTGGTCTAACCCTGTCTTTCTGATCCTGGACCAGGTCTGGGAAGATCCAGAGGGAGTCCGAGTTTGCTGCCAATGTGGACTGTGGGTGGCTGTCGTGGGGTGTGGGCCTGCTGCTGGTGAAGCCTCTGAAGTGGACCTTCTCGACTCTTCTGGGGAGCAGCAGGGTCACTCTGGAGGAGTCTTTTGTGATCATCGAGTTAGTCAAGGTTAGTCCAGGTCCTGGTTTCAGGATTTAGGTCAGAGACAGTTCAGGACAGGAACCTTTAAACTCACTACAATAAAACAGTCAGAGGTTTATTATTCCTTTATTTTTATCTCTTTAACCCTCCATTATCACCCTTTGATTGTTATTACTCACTGTAAATGAAGTTCAGCTGAAGGTTGAGTAACTCACGTTGTAAACTTTCAGATGCACTAAATAGTTTCTCTTTCACTATGAGACAAGTCTGACTAATAAAACAGCTGCTTCATATTACAGGGATATTCCAGTGTAAAATTAATTTAGGGTCAAACACACCATAACATTGAGTTAGACACCCCCGTCGAGAGATGAAAGTTGCCAACTGCTTGCTTCTCTAGTTATACCAACTTCAGTAATGACCGCACGACAGCAATACACAGCAATCTACATCTCCACGCTCAACCAAAACGCCACTCGATAGCCACAAATGATGCTCAGAACAGCATCTAACTTCATCAACAGGACATATAGGGTCACAGCCATAGTACTAGACACCAAACATCTTTTTAACTTTGGCTAATTTCTTTAGCAAAGAGACTAAACACAACTCACCTACTCTTTTCCAGCAGCCGCTTGTTTGTAGGGAGACCTCAACCCAGTCCATTAGGGACTACAGCGGGGTGCAGCAGCTCAAGGAAGAACATTTATGATCATTTCTTTATCATTTCCTTGAAGTAATAATCACCATATTAATCATTTTGCACCGCAGACCCGGAAGTTCTTCTGCCTTAGTGTCTCAGTCTGATGGTGTTTCCGTGGAAACATGATCATAAATGTTCTTCCTTGAGCTGCGTCACCCCACTGTAGTCCATAATGGACTGGCCTGAGGTCTCGCTACAAACAAGCGGCTGCTGGAAGAGAGTAGGTGAGTTGTGTTTAGTCTCTTTGCTAAAGAAATTAGTCAAAGTTAAAAAGATGTTTGGTGTCTAGTACTATGTCTGGGACCCTATATGTCCTGTTGATGAAGTTAGGTGCTGTTCTGAACATTATTTGTGGCTATAGAGTGGCGTTTTGGTTGAGTGCGTGGTTCTGTGTATTGCTATCCTGCGGCCGTTACTAAAGTTGGTATAACTAGAGAAGCAAGCGGTCGGCAACATTCATCTCTGGACGGGGGTGTCTAACTCGGTGTTACGGTGTGTTTGACTCTAGATTAATTTTACGCCGGAATATCCCTTTAAAGCTCCCTGCAAACTCTTGAGTTTGTCCCTGAATCATTAAATTTGTTCTGTCTCGTTTACCAGGAGAAAGCAGAGGAGTTACTCAGGGCGTACCGCAGCAGCGAATATGCAAGCAGCTCCATCCTGTCCTTTCAAGACCTCTGCACCCTCTCCGCTGATGTGTGTGCCGATGAAAGCACGCTGTGCATGGCTCTCCTGCAGCTTCAGAGGGACAAACAAGTCACAGTGTCGCTGCATGAAGGCGAGAAGGTAAAGTGCATGGATCCACCCAGAAAACTTCTCATTGTTTGGGAGAAGACCATCTTCATGTCTATTTTTATCTGTGTAACTTGATTTCAGATTGTTAAGTTCTGTCAGCCCGGCCAGGATCGTGTGCCTCCTGTCAGTGATGTGGATATCGGCATCTACCAGCTGCAGCGCAGTGAGAAGCTGCTGGGGGAGCGAGTGGAGAAGCTGGGCCTGGAGGCTGACAAGTACGGAAACTCAAATATGATCATAATAGTCGAAAAATGAGCTGAATTGACTTATAATGAGTTTAAATCAACTGTAAAAGTCTGACTTGACCTGGAAAGGGGGAGAGATGATCCTCTAATTCAGACTAATTTCACCTGCATGTCCAAGTGTCCTGAGCGAGAAACTGAATCCCAAATTGCTTCCAGGGAATATTGCAATCATTATCTGAGTGTGTCAAAGTGCAGTTTGAATTAGCTCCTGATGCACCAGAGGGGCATCTCCAAACTTTGATGTATGAATGAGTGAACTATAAAGTGGCTGTATGAATGTGATTCACTCACCATCCCTGTTAAAGCTGCTCTCCATTATCTAATGCAGGTGTAAAGAGGAAGCGAGGATGCTGCTTCGGGACGGGAAGAAAACACAGGTGATTTAAATACTCAACTACAAACACAGTTTCTTCAAGAAGTCGTAGCTCTGTGTTTTATCAGGAATATTCACTGTTTGTCCTTCAGGCTCTGAGGTGTTTAAGAGGCCGTAAGAGGGTGGAGAAAAGAGCCAATAACTTGTTCGCCCAGCTGGAGTCCATCAGAGGAATCCTGGACCGGATCGCTCAGTCTCAGACTGATAAAATGGTGAAGTTCAGACACAAACAGCTGCTTCTGACGCGGTTTTCTGAGAGTTTTCTGTGTTTTTATTTCGGGTATAATATGTTCGTAGGTTATGCAGGCGTATCAGGCTGGAGTGTCCGCACTGAGACTGTCACTCAAAGATGTGACTGTGGAACGAGCCGAGAACCTTGTGGATCAAATACAGGAGGTACTTCAGTGCTTTTATTTTAACTTTTCAGCATGTGTATCAAGTTTGAATCCCACACTGACGCCTCTTTTCTCTGATTTATCCAGTTATGTGACACTCAAGACGAGGTGAATCAAACCATCTCCAGCGTTAGCGGCGGAGGTACGTTCAAACTTTCAGAGTCACATCTTCTGTTTGTCTCCTGTATGAGGAGCATGATGGAGATTTAAACCTGGTTTGTGTCTGTAGATGAGGACATCGATGAGTTGGAGCTAGAACTGAAATCTCTGTTGGATGAGTCAAAGACCGATTCCATCTCGGATCTTCCTGAAGTTCCCACAAACAAACTGCGGCCCTCCGGGGAGGCGGGACTTGCAGGCGCAGACCTGCTGAGCTCTCTGCCTGCTGTACCTTTCAAACCTTTGGATCTGTCAGACGAGCAGCTGGAGGCAGAGCTGAATAAGTTAACGCTCACAGATTCAGGTTTGCACTTTCAGATTTATCCTTTAATTTCTCCGTTGGGTTATAATATAAATGTTTTGAAGTAAATCCGTCACCTCTCTGTCCAGGCTTTGACCAGAAGAAAACGGCGTCCGCAGCCAGGAGACTGGAGCCGGCACAGTGAGAGCGCAAGCACACGACTCTGCTTCGACATATCCGACTCTCCTGAAAAGTTTCTGTGAGTCAGACTCAATAGAAATGAAAAAAAACAAAACACATTAATGGTTAATAATTCAATTTCAGGTTGAAAAAGAGACACTTTACTTCAAATTAAAGAATATATCTTTACCGTGGAGAGCTGCCATAAAGTATTTTATATCCTTTTTTATTTGTTTATCAACTTGAAGGCCGTTAGACGGTCTCTGCCATCAACGTTCGACGTGAACCTTTAGGAGTTCGTCACCATCAGTAACGCTGTTCTTTTGGTTGTTTTATCCAGTGAGTTCGGGTTTTTGTGTCACTGTTTTTAAATGTCCTGTAAAGTGTATGAAGTGGCCTTTTGAAATGTAAATATTAAAGTTAAAGTTAAAGAGAGTATAATGCCAAATGAATGAATGAATGATGAGTTATCAGAACCACTCATTAAGTCTCATTACAACAAACTGTATGAGTGAGAACATGAAACCTGTCTGGAGTGTAATCTACCAAATATGTTTCTCAGAATAAAATTTATTTTAATCAGTTCCTGTTCGTGATATTTTTATTTAAATACTCGAGTTTAACCGTTAAAGCTGATCGTTGGTGAATAAACAGATCAAGATTATTGTGGGAGTGTCACTGAAGAGTTTTAACTCCTTCTTGACTCATGCTGGGCTGTCTCATGTTTGACTTACTTGTATGTAATACTTTTGCCACCAGGGGTCACTGTGATTCATACTCGTACCTTTGACTCATCCAGACCAAGAAGCACTTACAATGTAAATAAAGGTAAAGTACCTTTAAGGATTATTCTGGGCACATCCTACATTTGGACACTAATGGAGGTGAAATCAAGGAGCAGTAGTTTAAGGATGTTTTCACTCTTCAGGTGTGGGATTTAAAAATACATGTTTGATACTGAGAGCAGATAAAATACATGCATGGGAGAAAAATGTTGATTAATTGAGAGTAAAACTGCACTTTCTTAATCAAACTGAGCTGCTAAATTCACTCAGGGATGTTTTTGAAAAAGCCCTTCACATGATAACCTTTCCAAAAAGTCCAAAAAGGAGCTAAATTTCCATTATTTTATAAAACTGTTTCATCTTAACAGGTAAACTAAATTCAGACAGTCCAACACTTCTTAAAAGTCAAACTCATAACTGTGTTTTAGGGTCTCAGGAGAGAGTTTTAGACCCTCATAAGTGAAGCAGTGTTGTTCTGTTGGTATGGATACTGGTGGTATGTCCCGGTTTTGACTCAGTGAGGACATCTAGTGGTCATCTGGGTTAACTGTTTAAAGACAACAGACTTGTATTGTGAATAAGGATCACCTCTGAGGTGCTGGGTTGTATTTGTGGTTGTGTACAGAGGTTTGTCTGCAGTGATCGCTTGTCTGGGAGGCCTCGACCCTCTGCTGCGTATCTTTGGCGCTCTCTACCCCCCACATCTGCCCTCAGCTGTCCTGTCGTATAAAAACAATAAACCCCTGAAATAATTTAAAATAAATTTAGTTCAACATATTTAGGAAAAGTAGACTCATTGGTTCAGTTTTACATGTCGATATTTTCTCTGTGAGTCGTTTTTGTTCAGTCATGATGACTCTGAGTCTTTATTGGTGCAGACAGACAGTCGTTTGTGCGTGTGGTCCACTCTCCCCGCCTTAATATTCCGCTCTAAAGTGCACTTAAAGAAGAGACTTAAAGCCATTAGACCATCAATCAAGAGTACGTTTGATTTTTCATTAGACTGTAAAGTGGAGCGATCGCTTTTACTGACCAGATCTCAAACAAACTGAACACAAAGAGACGCCGTGGATGGACACGTGTTTCTGCAGGACTCACTACTCCGAACATTTATAACCTTTTTCTTTATTATTCCATTAGTTTGAATGAAAGAAATCAAGACCCCAAACCAAAAAGCATTGCTTTATTGTACTGATTTATACATCGACTTCAAGGACAGGTGAGATTACTGTGAAAAGCAGATTATTAAGTGGTTATAATTCCGGTCATGTTGTCGTCGGTGCGGTGGCTACAGTCAGAATCTGAGGTGCTTTTGTGTTCTCTATTCAACAATAAATAAAAAAAGAATTCCTTACAAATGTGCAGCCTTTATAAAGTACAGTTAGTCATCATATCACAAAACTCCATCACAGCAGAGTTTCTGAAAAATGCCCTTGTATCACAAATAACACCGACAGATATTAAGCCAAGACTTAACGCTCCTGTAGGCCTTCAGTGTCTCGCTCTGTAACACACGAACACACACACACACCTCTCTCTCTCTCACACACACACACACACAGACACACACACACAAACATACTCGCTCACCATCTTTATACTGCATTTACTCATGTGCATCACTGCTGCATTAGCCAGTCAGAATCAGGAGGGTGGAGCTACAGCTCTCTCACCTTCGACCAGCACCTTTTTAATTGCACATTTTGCAGCTCCTTCCTACAGTTACGGTAAACCTACAGTTTTACTACTGATATGACGAGAGGATGAGAAGACGTGGAGAGTATGAGTGTAATAATAATAATAATAATAATATCAGATCTACCCTAAGCAGCTGCAGACATCTGGCTGTCGTGTTTGTTGATATGTCCAGATGACTGTGGAGGATGGAGCGGATAGAGGAGAATCGTAATAACTACACTACACAGCGTGTGTTTGAACAGGTGGAGCAGGCACTGATGCAGAGATTTGGCTGAGGGTTTGTCGTTTGCACCACATGAGACAGAACGGTGTGAGAGTCTAAAGCGTAAAAGTCGAGGTGTGTATAATACAAGCTGTGGTCAGGAGGTGGGTAGAAACGTTTGGCATGCTTTTGTTCTCTTCGTCCTTTTTTTTTTAAATGTATGTAAAGAAAACGAGTCTTTATGGGAGACCGTGAACGAATGATCACTTTGTCATATTGCAGTGTTGCGTAAAAAGCAGGCTACACAGTGGGTCAGGCTCCGTCCTGCTCTTGCAGTGGTGTGTGTTTACAGTAGATGTGTGTGTGCGTGTGTGTGTTTATGTGCGTGTTAGCAGTGCAGAGTTAAACTGTCCTGTCGGCCCCTGAGCGCTTCCGCACCACCTTCTCCTCGTTGACCTGGTCCACCGCCAGAGTCTCCAGCTCAGCCTGCGGCGGGGCCAGAGAGGGAGTGCCGTGCGGGATGCGGTGTGCCACGCCCACGTGAGCCCTGTACTGGCGGTCCCGGGCGGGGCTGTGACGAGGGCTGGCCGTGACGCCCAGGGGAGCTGCAGCAGGGGAGCGCTCAGAGGCGATGGGAGGGATTACAGCAGGACGTTCTCGCACCACCTGCGGTTCAGGAGAGTCTCTCCCGGCCTGCAGGAAAGGCGTGGGATCGGGCATGGCTTCCACCGTCTCCCGCAGAACCAGCCTCCGACCATCTGGACCGAGCCGGTACACTTCTGTTAACTCTGGGTGGAGCGGCTGAGACAGACTCTTCTTCATGCGGCGTCGGGGCGTTTCAGGCTGCCTGTCTTTGGAGGGGGGAGGGGTGGGTTTGTACGAGGTCACTGGGCTGACGTTAGGACTCGCTTCAGACGAGCTGCCGGCTAACAGCTTCTTCTTTGTGGCGTGAAGCTGGGAGGTCAGATAGGCTATAGTGCTCGCTCTTTGTTCCAGCTCCCCGGACAACACGGCCAGTTTGTGACTCTTCATCTTGAGCTCCTCTAAATACTTCTTCTCCCTCTCCTTGATGGTGTTCTCCAGAACAGAGATCATGGCGTTCTTCTGCTCCAGGTCCCTGAGCAGCTCCGTGTTCTCCTCCTCCTTCTTCTTCAGCTGGGCCTCCAGCTCCTCGCACCTCCTCTGCAGCTCCTTACACCGGGCCTCACTGCTGTCTGTAAGCACAACCAAAAAAAAACCGTCAACAACTCGAGTCGACACACGAGAAAAACACACTCTGTGAGACACACATCTCCAGACTGGACCGATCATTAGAGCAGCATTAGGTGCAGACACTGAATCTGGACAGTCTGTCAGCTGACGGAGACAGTTTGATCCTACAGAGACTCAGAGCTCCAGTTTCACATTACAGCTCTATTAGACAAAAAGCACGCCGCTCTCCTCTGACCTTCATCACCACTGACACGAACCTGCCCGGCCACACCCAGTTACATCAGATAACACTGCAAACACACTTCACTGTCAGTATAGTGTCATGTATATATGGTTTAAAGTGTGCATGTTTCTGTTGTATATTTACATACCCTGATCTCAGCCGTTTACCTCCATTCGAGTGAATTTTCAGCCTGGATGGAGCGGCTGAGCTCGGCTCACTAAGCAGGATGCAGGCTGTGCATTAGTGCTGTGACAGATAATCTGATTTCCTGCACTCCAATCTCTGCGATGTCCCACACTAACATGATAGAGCTTCTGACTGAAGGTCCTAACAATACTGCTCAGATCTGGGCCACACAAAGCCACGCATGATGTGATCCCGGTGAGCTGCGACCATTTTCACTGACACACATCCGTGCGATCAGCGGCAGCCTCTAAGTACATTAGACTGTAAGCAGTCTGCCAGGGGCCGGGGCAGAGATAGAGGGGGCCGGGTCTGAATCAGACCAGTGTTGAGACTCCATGTCAGGGCCATGGTAACCTAGGGGGGGAGGGGCAGCTGACCATGAGCAGTGGGATGTCTAATGAACAGCAGGGAGTCCCACAATGCAATTCTTCCTGGGTGGGAATGTGTGTTTCTAAGAAACAGAAAGAGCCCTCCATTCCCAGACCCGTCCACCGAAACAGATTTACAGCCTCGACTTCAGCCGAGTTCACTCTTTTTCTGCTGCTCTGTGCGATTTCAGTGAGATTGTTCTGGAATGAACATCCGTGTCAAAGAAACAGGAGTCTGTGGAAGTATCTGAGGTGTGTCCAAGTCAATATAATAGTCAGGGGTTTTACTTGAACTCCACTACGTCTCCATGAAACCACAGACACACAGCTTTAATTTAAACACAGCTGAAAATGATCGGTTAATCACATTTATCAATCATTTAGACTATTGACGGTGACTTCTGACTCTTGACAACGGACGTCAGTGTGAAAACAGATGTGTGTGTATGTGTGTGTGTGTGTGCAGCCAAGTATCATGGAGACTCACCTGAGGGATCAGAGCTCCTCACAGTGAGCTCGTATGTCAGGTCTGTGGAAAAAAAACACAGGACGTTACTTATAGGTTCTCATCACATGATGCTGCAGCGGTCCAGCTATTAAACAGCATGATCCTCACATGGACCAACCAGCTGAGGTGCATGACAGCGGCTTTCCATATGGCGAGGCGCACTTTTAACAAGATTAGTGAGAGTTCGTCACGTCAGCTTCAGAGTCAGGTTAGCCGAGGATACGTTAAAGCAGCTAAAGCGAACGCTGGCCTGTTTTTCCTCTGCCACCATCTTTACATCTATCTTTACAGCGCTGCTTCTGCTGAGTGGGGGGATGTAGTTACTGAGGCTTGAGTGGATTTCCAATAACTCCGCCTGTTCCCTTTAAAAGGTTTAACAGCGACTATTTTTCTTCAGAGTCCATGCATCCATTTAGGGTTTACATCGGTCTGATTCTCTCACTGATGAGACCATTATCAGCGTTTCTGGTTTGTTTACGAAGGTGCCGTTTACCCTGATGAGAAACTCTTTAATGTGCTGCAGAGAGGAGAAGTGCTTGTTCACGCTCACCTGTGCACTGCTGCTGTAACCTGCGGATCTCCGCGTGGAGCCCCTTTAGCGTGTTGGCGTGATCTTGCTGGAGGAAGAGCAGATTTTTCTGAGCGCTGTGCAGCTGATTCTCCAGCGTAACATTTGCTGATGCCATGGCTGGTTATGGTCACGGACAGGCACCAGTGGTTATAACCTCCAGACACAGAAAAGGAAAGAAAAAAAAGAGAAAGGAGGGGAGAGAAAGAAAGAGAGAAAAGTCAACCCATTTGTCAAACAGACTGTCACAACCTTTTCCTTTGTTTACATCGTGTTTCAACTTTGCTGTGTCTGCCAACTAAAACTCAGACAATGTAATTTACAGAGTGAAATAGGAACTAGAAAATACCACATGACACATCTGTGAATATCCTCATTAATAAGACCAGCTCAATGTTGTGGTGTGGCTGTAAAAAAAAGAGGCCTGCCAACCATAAATAGACACTCTGCCAATCCCTGAAATTAGGCGATTGATTGAGAACCTGAGATTGAGCGGTGTGAGCCGTGAGAAGCCAGACATCTGTAAGGTAACACCGATCTAATGTGCACTAATCTAATCTGGACTATATGATGTAATTTTATTAGGACAAACAGTGGAAAACACTCTTCCTACCACTCTGAGGCTTCCTGAGGACAGACAGACGGTAGAAAACAAAGTAAAAGTCAGAAACTGAATCTGAAGAGAGACTGTAATCAAGGTCAAACAAAAAAAATGAAAATAAAACTGAAGGTGATGTTTTGATTTAATCATAAATGAGAGTCTAAACAATGAAAATTATTTCAGCTCAGTTTGGTGGAGCGTAGTTATCAGTTTAAATAATCTGAAGGTAGAGTCAGTGTTAAAAAAAGGAATATTAGGGGATAATTAGCGGTCAGATTTGTATTTAAAATGCTCTCCAGCTCACTTCTTTAACTGGTGAAGCAATAGTAAACTTCCAGGACAAAAATTTTTCTTCTTTTTTATTTTTACAACCAGTGCATTAGCATGGGTACTAAATATAAATGCAACTACTTTGTCATTTCTGTGCTACCGTAGAAAAATAAGGATGCAAGGTGGCAGTCTCACTCCTTAATGTCCTTAAAGATCATTTTCTATTACAAAAACAACATTTTTAGACAATAATTTAAACATACTTACAAATATTATAAGTCTGTTTTGGTTGATGGTTATTTTTACTACAGGTCAGTGTCTCTCTGTTTGAGAAGTAATTAAGAAGAAACCCAATAGTCGCCGTTACAGTAAGACTGGGTGTGGCATGGAGGCTGTCAGTCTTAAACATGTCTCTTCCTTGTTTCCCCTGTGTCTTGCCCCACCTTCCTCCCTTCCCTGGCCGTCCTTGTCTTCAGCGCCAGAGGCAGAGAAACAATCACTCAGCTCCAACATCTCCACCCTCTGCCAGACAACTGTGCTGCGCTGAGAGTTGAGAGCACATTGATCCCCGCAACAGCCCGCCTGAGTGCAGAGAAAGCCTCTCCCTGCATACATAAGTGTGTTTCAATAAAACATCCCAGAGCCTCTCGCTCTTACATCATCAGCTCGCTTACATTAATAATATATCCCATGACACCTTGCAGGACACGCTCCAGCGCTCGGAGTTGTCAATGGGACTTTTTGTCATTGCGAGCTGACAAAAAGATAAGGAAAGAAAAGGAGAGGAAAGCAAAACAAAGACGAGTAATCCCAAACAGAGGCAGTGGTGTGTCATACAGGCTGAGGAGATCATCTATTATTGATGAGTGATGTGGAGTCCTTCCTGTAAACCCTGTGCTGCAAGCATCTCTCTCACCAGAATAGCTTCCCGTTTACAAAGACATGACCTCAGCCAACTTCATCACACGTTTCATACCGTGGCATGAAGGTGACAGAGGAGTACACACCTTCATTGTTCTCAAGAGAGGCCAAGTTTACCTTTCTTTGTTTGGGGACACAGTAGGGGGTTATATGCAAATAACTACGTCTGTCTCACAAACACTGAGATTTATGTAAAACCGTGACTCTTATACAGACTGTGCTTTCTAAATAAACAAACCAGCATTTCCTCATACAGAGAACATAAATAATCAATGAACTGCAGCAGCATGAAACATTAGCTACTAGCTACAACAAGAATAAGCTGGCCTTTCTGGGAGGGAGCTGCTCCTCCTAAACAAACATGTCCATTGTTCATCTTTAGGCTGAAAAAAAGTCGACTCTTGTTTTCTTCAAATGTCCAAATGTGGTGAAAATAAGTCATTCACATCCTGACTTATGCTGGTGTTTTAGGGAACTTCAACAACTAAACTCTACCACCGCAATAACAACAACAACAATAATAATAATCAAACTAAATCATTAAAACCTCTGTCTAAAGTGTTATAGAGACATACAGCTCAGTCTTTGTAGGAACGTTTGATACTTTTCCTCCACACTTGTTATTTCAGCACCTGCATTGCGGACAGCACCCCAAACCCCCAGTTAACATTAAACTGCTGCTGCTGCTCCGAGCTGTATGTCTGCCAGAGGATCATCACCTGACAGAAACGTAGATGTCAAAGCTTCAGACTGCGTTTTAATTCAGCACCTGACCTTCTCTATCAGCATCAAAGCGAACATCGGTGATCACTGTCACTGATGAGTAGTGGGCTCGTCTGTCTCTGCTTGTTTTATGACCTGATGAGATGTTGTTGGATGCCATCACTGCGTTTCGTCCGGTCATTACAAAGCCTGTCCTTGCAGCTAATGCTGTGTGCTGTCCAGGGAGGAGCAGTTTCACGAACCGCAAACAAGCTAGTTTTCTACTGAATGGGAAGTACGTCACACCAAACCCCATTTACAATTCGTCAACTTAATATCAATATGCTCTAAATGTAAATAAATGTAATAAAGTGTGAACAAAAATGGTTTAATAGACAATGTTGAGGTGTTCGGAGGAATACGGCGCATATTAAATCTATATAATGCATCTCTTTTTCAACTAAATCCAGGGTTAAGTAAATTCAGTCATAAAACAGTTACAATCCTCATATTCAACGATATTCTGACAAAAAACAGCAGATATACCAGGAAAACTTACATTATCCCTTTAACTGACAATAAAGTCAACCTGCTGGGATGAATCCCGGATGAAACCAGCTCAAAAATATACCATAATAGCGCACTAAAATAACCGAATCGTCGCACCAAACCCCATTTACAATCCGTCAACTATATATCAATCTGCTCTAGATGTAAATAAATGTAATAAACTGTGAATAAAAATGGTTTATTAGACATTATTGAGGTATTCGGGATAATACGGCATATACTAAATCTATATAATGTGTCTGTTTTTCAACTAAATCCAGGGTTGAGCAAATTCAATAATTAAACGGCTACCATCCACATATTTACCGTTATCCTGACAAAGAAACAGCAGAAATATCAGGCAAATGTACATGACCCCTTTAAATGACAATAAAGTCAACCTGCCAGAATAAATCCAGCTCAAAAATATACCATAAGAGCGCACTAAAATAATTTAATTGTCATACCAAATCCTATTTAAAATCCGTCAACTAAATATCAGTCTGCTCTAGATGTGAATAAATGTAATAAACTGCGGATAAAAATTGTTTATTTGACATTGTTGAGGTGTTCGGGAAAATACGGCGCATATTATATCTATATAATGTGTCTCCTTTCCAACTAAATCCAGGGTTAAGCAAATTGAATCGTAAAATCCTCATATTTACCGTTTTTCTGACAAAGAAACAGCAGTAATGTCAGCCAAACGTACATTACCCCTTTAAATGACAATAAAGACAACCTGCTAGGATGAATCCAGGATAATGCCAGCACAATATAGACCATAATACCACACTAAAATAATTGAATTGTAGCTTGTCATTGAATGAAAGAGTCTCCAAACAGAGGAAAGACGCATCAGGCGTAAATTATGCTAACCTAGCCGAAAAGCTAACGAAGCTAGCAGCAGCACCTTGACTGTCAGAGAGAGCTCACCTTTATCTGATAATGAGTATCGTCGAGGATCTTGTTAAAGGTTGTATTCCGTCGTTGAGTGATCCAGCCCCACCGGCTAAGTGCGCTCAGGCTTGCGGGGCATGTCGGTGATGCTGTCAGGGGGGCTCGCCTCTGTCGGTCGGTCGGGTGAGGAGGGAGGAGGGCGGCTGTGTCAGGTTCCTCTCATCTCCCTGAGCTACGAGACAAAATAAAGCGATGCATTGTGGGAAAACGGGCAAATTATATGTAGCTCTGAGGCGTTAAATCACTTTTATTATCCAATTTATATGAAAAACGACAGAGAGATGCACAAAATTATTACGAAAAATGACAAAAAGCTGTAATAGATGATTAACTACCTTGTATGACACGGAATCGTTGAAGTAACGGTTAACAGAGACGTGCCCCGGTTTCCAGTCACCAGCGTCATCACCATAGCAACAGAGTTTGTCACCTGTTCTGCAGCGAGGCATCCGCGCCATCTAGTGACAGCGCCAGAAAACAGCAGCATGACTGCAACAATGAAGATGTTTTGTGATCCTCCATCTCTCTCATCACTTTACAACATGGTGCCAAATTTAATGTCCATCATGTCTCAAACTGACAGAAGGAGGTAAATCAGGAAAAACTGAGGAGGCTTTTGGTGTAGTACAGCTGCTCGACAGCAGAGGGAGGTGTTGTACTTCAGAGGAAAGTTGGAGTAGACAACTTTGAGTACTCAGTTAATTCAGTTTAATTTAGTTTTATTACTCAATTCAGTGCAATTCAGTCTGTATTTATGACTCAATAGACATAAAAATGCTATGGTACTATTCAAAAAAAGTTATCAATAAGATCACTAACTTTAAAACTGCAATTACTGAAAGCATGTTATAGAAATTATTCCAGAGGTTTTGTCTTAAATCATTAGTTATGAAACAGAATTTCATCCTCTTTCCTACCTGTCTCCTTGTTTAGGTTTATTATCTCATGTATCCTATTAGTATATTTGTATAAATATACTTCTTTTAAGTCAAATTTAGAAAAACTCACTTTTACAGACGTGCTTTTATGTGATGCCGTCTTTTCTCTCTTTTTTCTTTTATCTCTTTTACCTCTATTATCTTATTTCGACTTACTATCCTTTTAGCCTTTGTTTTACTTACAATCTTTTCTTATTTTACCTTTTAAGCCCTTTATTGATTTTTATTATTCCATTTTATCATTAATATTACCATCACTATTATTTTATTATGATTTGATTATCATTATTACTATCCTCTTTTATATTTACTATACTGTTTCCTGCTTTCTGCCCCCCTTTTCTATTTCATTTCTTCTTATTACCTATTTTATGTTTTTATTTTGGTCCTCATGGTCCCATTTTATGTTTTAGGGTTCTTGTATTTTCTGGGTTTCTTATGAAAAATGAAATTGGTCTTCAATTCGGAGGTTTTTAACTGAGCTTTTGTTTTTATTTGTTTTTATTTTCATGTGCTGATGTTCTGTGCTTTGCAACTGTTTGTCAAAGCACTTTGTAAACTTCTGTTTTTAAAAGTGCTATAAAAAATAAAGTTATTATTACTATAAAGTTATTATAAATGTCTCCTATCAAGTAAAAAGTCAAAAGTCAAAGTCAACTTTATTGTCAAATATGCTATACATGTTAAACATACAGCACAGATGAAATTTCAGTCCTCTCAGACCCAAAGTGCACAACAATAAAATATAAGAATAAAACTATAAAAGTATAAATATAGAATAAACAAGTAAGCTAGTGACAGATTCTTGCATTTCATTTTAAATGTCATCTTTCATCCATTAAGCATGTGTAATTTATCAAAATGAGACATTTAAGAATAATAATGATAGATTTATTCAAAAGGCACTTTCAACCAAAGTCAAATATTTTACAGGGATTCAAAACATCAAAGAAATGAAAATGATATGAACACTAAAACACTACTTTACTGTCTTGTATGTTTGCAGCAACACCCTAATCTGCTGTGGTCTGGCCAGGCAGCCAGTGAAGAGAGGCCGGCACAGGGGTAATGGGCTTATTGTTGCAGGACATGGTCAGAGTCTGAGCTGTTGCACTCTAACCCAGCTAACGATGATTTGGTCTCCTCAGTCTGCTATGATTTCTATCTTAGTTTAGGAGCAGAACCAGCTCTGAGCAGCAACAAGAGGCCTCAAGTTTCAGTGTAATGAATCTTTTTTCTGCAACAACTGGTGTAAACATGTAAATTATCAGCATAAAAGTAGAATTTGATACCAAAATAATGCATAATCCGGTGCCAGATACTGTGAAAAACAACAGTGGTCCTAGGACAGACCCCTGAAGGACGCCATGCCTAACAGCATAGACCTCTAAAATGTTGTTTCTCAATCTTGATTCATTTTGAAATATTACTTGCTTCCATTGCCAGTTTCCAGAGAAAAAATTAAACTGACTTTATCAAATCCCTATCAGCTCTCCTGCCTCTGAGGTTCCCACTCCGAGGTGTGAAGACTTGGGAAACAGTAGCCTTTTCATACTGACCTGTAATATCACCTTAAATCATTCCTGGCAAGAGAAATTCCTCCGTGACACAGCTACTGCGTAAAGTGATACAAAGCAAAAACAGCAGCATCAGTTTTTATCCCCGACCCGAGAAAGGGTCTCATATGTAAAAAGAAAACATCTCGTGGAATAAATGGAATTATTGTCCGGCGTTCAGAAATGTTATTTTTTGGAAGCAGCCTTTAATCTCTCACTGGCTTTGGCATGTTTGTGATAGGGATTAAATTCTTCTCATTTCTGTATTTTTAGGGTCTCTGGCACACTTCCCAGCCATCGTCCTGGAGAAGGTAAGTTATTCTCACCCCTGTAACAGTTAGGTGAAAAGTAATTCCCCATCAGAGACCTCTACCTTCTGTGAGATTTGTTTTACTTACACGCTGCTAGAGATCCTCGTATATCATAACAGGTAGTAAAGCAGCTCAATGAGAGAAATCAACCAAATAAAACGAGGTGGACCGGCCTCGGCCTCATCCTGAGACTCTCACAGGCTGACAGTTGTTGTTTTTTTGGCCTTCGCCTGCAGGTGATCCGGCGCTGGAAAGGATCCAGCTGAGAAACGTCTGTCATCCAAACTGACCAGAGCATTTCTTCCAGCTGAGGTGTCCACAGTGGGATTTCCTTTAACAATCTACTGCCTCATAAATGTGTCTGTGATTTACAGCCAAGTATGTCTGCGGATTTATATTCTCTCTCTTTTTTTCAAGAAAGCAGGGAAATACATTCTTTTAAACTCAGCCAGGCACTCAGAAATATTCCAAGTGGTGCCATGCAGACGATGGCCAGGCTGCTGGAAAAGCAATAAGAGTGAACTGTTAGGCTTTTGTTACAACTTCTGGGCATCAGTCACACACCAGTGACTGAGAAAAATCGAACATTTAGCATATTTGAACGAGTCCCACCAGAATAATTGCTGGATTGTGAGCAGATAGTGAGGGTCCTTGTCATTTTCATTAAATGAAAGTTAAATTAAAGCATATGGCAGCCCGGCTCTGGCACTGTTTTACTGCCCCTGCTCTGACAGGAAGCCAATACCAACACTTCTCAGGTTGTAATAGTTTTACAGTTATTATGTTGAGTTTGGCAAGAGAAAACGGCTCTAAAACGCTGAAAACCTAATTTAATTTTCCAAGACCATTTTTTTATTTGCCTGTCCGAGGAAAGTCATAATCACCCGACTGTTGAACTGAATGTGTCATTTATGAGAGGACTTCAAAGTAAACTGACAGCGCCACGATGTTCACTTATTTCAGCTTCATTTTAGAGTATTTAAGGACGGTATCAGAGCATGAAATACACTGGGCTCAAATTCAGCTCATTAAACACTCTTCTCATGCCCACATAATGTCCGCACTTGGTGAGGAGAAATCAAGGCTTTCACACAGGATACTTGAGCCTGATTTTCTATTTTAAAGCCCTCATATATTGTATTAAAATTGCTCATATCTCCAGAATAATGCCCCTCATTACAGCCTGTTTAAACCTGCATGTTTGAAGGAGGAACAGATTGGCACATTTCCCCTGCAGAGGCTGGCTGTGCGGGCACCCTGAGTTACAGCCACTTCAAAGTCTGGTGTTAGTGCTCCATTAACCGTTAGTAATTAAAGTGTCACTCTAAATGGCACAGAGCTCACCGCTCTCTCTGGACTGTAAAAATCTATAAAGTTTTAAAAAAGAGAGCTGCATAGAAAGCACGGTTTCCTGCAGTCCTCCCTCATTAACAGCGTAAAGGTAGAAACATGTTGGCAGTGATTCCAGAGCAGAGCTTTCCATGTGGGCTCTGTGTAATATGTTGGCTACAATTTCCTCTCTGTTTTCACCTGTGTTTTGTCAGCTCGTAAATTTGTCGTGAATTAACTGGCAGGTACAAAACTGTGTCAGTGAAGCTGATTGCTGTTGAAATAACCTTTTCTTTAAGTGCTCGTTTCACGTTTTCTGGACCTTTTCTTTTCTTATAAAGTCCAGATGCTACTGGCGCTCACACTGCAGATACTGTGTGAGGACCTGAAAGGAGGACAAATACTTTCCATACCAAAGAAGTGCAGAGAGAATCAAAGAGAGGTCGTCTTTGGAGCAGTTTAGCATTTAACAGAGAGAAGATTCGGGTTATTATTAGAGACTGAACATCTGGTTTTAACTTGATGAGCAGAATCAGATCATGTTGATCGACGCTGATGCAAGATGTAGTGCAAAGAATAATCACAACCAGTGTGCTTTAAAGTTTGTTTTATATCATTTATTATGAGGACCGCGATAATGTGATAGATAATTAAAGGAGACAAGTTTTCCCATCGTTTAAAAGTTTCTGATTTTTTTTTAACAAATTTTGACTTTTCCCCTGATGAAAAGCTTTTAATTCAGATGTTTATATTTCTTAAAGTTACTGTAAGAAGTTTTTACCTGGTTATGAAACAGACTGAAATGAATATTGATGCCTTCTTAAAAAGTAAAACATCAAACAAAACCATCAGTGATGATCTGATTACTTTTATAAAGTAGTTTAGGATGTCAGTTTGTGTGAATGAGGGGTTCGGTGTCAGACAAATTTAGTATTTAAGGTGCATAAACATCTTGTATTATTACGTTTTCTATAGCTAAGATTATAACTGACTGCAGGGTGATATCCTTTATTAAAAAACAGACTTTCATATGTCAGAAAATAAGCAAAGAGAGATGAGGTACGTCTGTCAGGATCAGATTAAATTTGGGGTTTTGTGATTAAATATGAATATTTGTTTAGAACAAGCTCCCCCCTCGTGATTTCAGGAGCTCTGGACAAAGTTTGGTACCAAAATAATCTGAGATTTTTAAATATGTACACAACAAAGTCGTCTGCATATGTTTGAACTTCTTTCTTTTGTCGTTGACCAAACAGCAGAGGGTTTATTTGCTGCTGAAGCATATCTGTGTACACTGTTTTATTAGTGCAAATCAAATATTATCTCATCATAACTTGTTTGATAAAGCTGTGGACCAGCTCGTGATAACAGCAGCAGCATGTTGGACAAACACAGACAGCACTAACCAGTCCCCTCTAACTAAGATCTTATTCCTGCTCTAAGGCTTGAAGGAGCTGTATCAGTGAGTGTTTAGGTGCACAGAGGTCTGTTAGACTTTAAGTACAGCATAATTCAAAGTAAAGCTATGCCTATGTCTAGCTTGTGTGGTCAGGATTGTGCAAACATTGGTGTGGTTTGCGGTTGTCGCTCTCCTCTCTGATTATCACACTGTGGTTACAGGCGGAGGAGAAGCAGAAGCAGACATGCCTTTCCTGGATTCACAGTCGTCATGAAATCCCCCAGGCTCCTATTTCGACCACCTCAGCCCTCTACGGTGCTCAACCATAACCACTGCTCTCATATCAAGGTATATGCAAGAATCCCAAAGTTAATTTCAGACTTTAAAAAGAAAAACCTTTAAAAAAAAAAGACCTCATCATCACCTAAAGCTGTTGTTTGAAACACATCCCCAGAGTCTCCAGTCCTCCTGGAGACACCTGAGGATCAAAACACAAGAAAAGAAATCCTCAGGATCTGGAGTTCAGGACCCAGTCAGCTAAAGCAAGAGGCATAATATAGAAAAGGCGCCCCCTGGTGGTCAGTTTTGATATAGCTTGTTTGCTGCCTGAGAAACTTGTGATTAACTTTTGTACATTAAAGTTTTATAAAGAACCAAGTCTGATGTTTTTATTGATATTTCTATGCCAATAAAGGATTGTTAAAATATTATTGTTTAACATGCTATGCTATGATATTTTAAACAACCAATACTATAACATTTTATAACACTTAATAATTATTTTTTTTAACATACTATACTAAATCATTTTTTTTTTCATATGAAAATATGGAATTTTTAACATACTACACAATGAAATTTTAATTTTAAGACTATGACATATTTATCATACTATAAAATGTCACTTTTTAATTACCAAAATATGGAATTTTAATTATACGATTCTATGGATTTTTTTTTTTTGCATGCTATAATATGACATTTTTAACAACCCATACTATGGCATTTGGTTCAGACAATTCTATGGCATGTTTTTTCATCATAAAATCAAAAAAAAAAATTCATCCTAAAATGTGAAATTTTGGTCATAGTATACTATGATGTTTTTTTTCAGACTCAAAAATGAATGTTTTTTCCCCCGCTAAAATATGAAATTTTTTAGCATCCTATACTATGGCAATTTAATCAGACAGTACTATGGCAATTTTTTTTCATCCCAAAATCGGATTTTTTTTTTTCACACTAAAATCTGAGATTTTGGTCATAGTATACTATGACGTTTTTTTTCAGACTCAAAAATGAATTTTTATTTTTCCTCCTGAAATATGACATTTTAAACATCCTATACTATGGCATTTTGATCAGACAGTACTATGGCATGTTTTTTCATCATAAAATCAAAAAAAAAAATTCATCCTAAAATCTGAGATTTTGGTCATAGTATACTATGACGTTTTTTTTTCAGACTCAAAAATGAATTTTTATTTTTCCTCCTGAAATATGATATTTTAAACATCCTATACTATGGCATTTTGATCAGACAGTACTATGGCATGTTTTTTCATCATAAAATCTGAATTTTTCTTTCACCCTAAAATATGAAATTTTGGTCATACTATACTATGACGTTTTTTTTCAGACTCAAATATGATTTTTTTTCCCCCGCTAAAATATGAAATTTTTTAACATCCTATACTATGGCATTTTGATCAGACAGTACTATGGCATGTTTTTTCATCATAAAATCTTAATTTTTCTTTCACCCTAAAATCTGAAATTTTGGTCATACTATACTATGCGGTTTTTTTTTTCAGACTCAAATATGATTTTTTTTCCCCATGCTAAAATATGAATTTTTTTTACATCCTATGCCATGGCAATTAAATCAGACAGTATACAATTTTTTATCCTAAAATTTTTTTAAAAAGTGTTACCCTAAAATCTGAAATTTTGGTCATACTATACTATGACGTTTTTTTTTTCAGACTCAAATATGAATTTTTATTTTTCCTTCTAAAATATGACATTTTTAACATCCTATACTATGGCATTTTGATCAGACAATACATGGCATATATTTTCATCCTAAAATCTTAAAAAAAAAAAGTGTCACCCTAAAATCTGAGATTTTGGTCATAGTATACTATGACGTTTTGTTTTCAGACTCAATTATGAATTTTTATTTTTCCTTCTCAAATATGACATTTTTAACATTCTTTACTATGGCATTTTTATAAGACAATACTGTTACATTTTTATCATACATACTATGACATTTTTCATGCTAAAATATCATTTTCTTTACATACTATACTATGACCCTTTTTTTCACACTTAACTATTATTTTCATATACTATACTGACATTTTTAACATCCTATACTATGGCATTTTGATCAGGCAATACTATGGCATTATTTTTCATCCTAATAACTCATAAACAGAAAGCTGTCTAAAATCAGGAAACACTGGTCTGTCAGGGTCATGGAGTTAACATACAGACATACAAACATATGCATATACAATCATACAAACTCATACATTCATTTATACATACATGCAATTGTTCTTGCACACAGACATACATTTATCAAAACATTCATACACACTTTAATCAATACAATCTGACATTCATTCATTTACAACACTTACATTCATTTATTTATACATGAATACATACATACTTTATTCTTACATACTGACTTACATGCATTCATCCAAACATACATTTATTTGAGTATACATACATACATTCAAACATTTCTACATATATACAGCATTCATTTATGTTTGTATATTTTCATACATGTATATCTCAACACAAACATATATACAGTCATACTTTCATTCATACATAAAGACTTTTTTTCATACCCTCATATAAATACATCAAACAAACAAAAACACTTATTTATACATACAATTGTTCCTTTAAACATTCATATACTCATTTATTCATTCTTTCTTTCATGTCACATACATACACATAAACTGATTTATATATAAATGAATGTACTGTAGGTTTAAATGTCTGAATTTTAATGATGTTACAAGCATTAAAACGTAACCTCATAATAATGTTTTCAAAATAGACATGCAGATTTATTCATTATCAAGATAAGTGAAAAAAAAAACAATGATCAAAATACAGACTTCAACAAATGATACTTAGGTTTTCAACTATAACGTAAAACTATACATTTGATGTTTTTTTTATTATATACATGTAATCCTGAATTTGATATAGTAGAAATACATCCAGTTATTTAAAGAAACGAACATAACTGAAAGCTATTTTACACTTTAACATTAAATCAAATGCGGTTATTCAAAAGTATCATGTAAACTTTTGAAGTTGAAATCTAATTAAACTGTTTTATTTAAAAACCAAAAGCACTGAAAGCTATTTTACACTTTAACATTAAATCAAATGCGGTTATTCAAAAGTATCATGTAAACTTTTGAAGTTGAAATCTAATTAAACTGTTTTATTTAAAAACCAAAAGCATGATTAAATGTTTAAAACAGTAAGTCATAAAAAAGTCTGAAAACAAACTATGCAAATATTTGTCCTCTGGGCATGTTTCACTGACACGACCGTCATCTGCCTCATTCTGGCAAATATTCCTGTGATAGACCGGACCGTCAGACTGACAGCGTTTCTGAGCTTCACTTAAGTTTGACAATACTTCCTTTTCAGGATCCTCTGCACCTGAAAAATAAAGTCAGTCCAGATTATCACATGTGAAAAAGGAGGTGACTGCAGTATCATCAACAGATTTACACACCCTAACTTTTCACCTACGGGTCCATCAGGTACCAGCTGAGACGGCAGGTCATTTTTGAAGTTCCTGGTCTCGGGGTCGGTTCCTTTTTTCATCAGAAGCTTTGCAGTTTCCACCTGAGTGTTGAGGCTCCTTGAAGAGCTGAGGATGTGCAGGGCCAATGAACGTCTGAAACATACAGAAGCACATCTTATAGAGCACTGGTTTAAAGTTACTCTAATCATACTGTGGTTTCTTTAAATGAAAAAAAAAGTGACCTTACCGTTGACCATCGACTGTGAAGACGGCTCATCTAGGAGCATGCGAAGAAGCTCCACATTTGCCACCTCGGCAGCCATGTGCGGCCACTTTCTAGATCCCGTTTGAATCAAAAGTTAACATTAAAAAAGTTCATTTTGGAGTACACTCGGTGTGAAGGATGCAGTTCAAATGAAAATACTCTAAATTTTACAGATTAGACATGATAAAAGTGGCAGAAAAGATCAATAAAAGTCAAAAACGTTCAGACTCGCCCCGGTTATCTTACTGCATCATACATTTAGATACACATCATCCAGACACACAGCAAAGACACGCTGTTTTTCCAGAGAAATCAGAGACTGGTTGTAGATATTTCCTGTTTTCAATATAAATTTTTCTCTCTGCTGTCTGGTCACAATAAGGAGGAGAAATCTGCTGACTTCTCCTTTTCATGTTCCCGTGTTTATACACCCAAACCGCAGGCTGAGTACACAAAGAGGGGATCTTTAAACACTGGATGTTCAAAAGCAGAGCGAGCATGTCTAAACAAACTAATCTATTTAGCCATGAGGAGTGCCAAATAATGCAAGTTTGAACGAACTTTCAAGTTAGATATGAGAACTCGATGGCAAAGGGAAAGAAGCTGAAAAACAGAAAAACTGAGTCTTTAAAGACGTTCAGACTGAACTGGAAATGATCTTTATTTCTCCAGAGATCAGACTGGTTAAAAAGTGGATTACTAAAGACTCTAAACCAAACCCCACCCTTATAGACAACTTTAAAAAATCCTTTTCCTCATGTTTGACATAAAATGGTGCAAACACTCGTGAAGGACTTTCCAAACATCCTCCAAGGATGAAGACGGAGGACTTAAGAGATCCTCGCTCTCATGTTAGAAGTATCAGGGTAGCTTAATGCTGAGCAAAATAATGATAGGTTTAGAGAGACAGCGCGGTACCACAAATAACGCACATATAACGAACACAAGACACTGATTTAGATTTCCTTCATATCTGGAGATCAAACTGAAATTTCCTGTAACAAGTTGGTCTCTAAGTTTGGTCAATTCTGGAGAAATCTGGGCTGGAGGCTCATGAAGGTGTTCTCTTCGACTTTTAGACGGAAACGGTCTCCATAGAAAGCGGAAAAGTGCCGTTTTGTGTTTACACAAAAACGCAATGTGGTTGAAAACACTGTAATGTGCATGCCAGGTCGCTAGGTGGCGCGTGTCGGTGTGACCGCGCTCCCATATAGACCAACAACGCTTACGTAGAACAACTTCCGTTCTACTTCCTAGCAGCACAATATGGCGAAAAAAGCTGCGCATGGCTATGATGTCATAAGCGTGAGCCGACGTGAGCCAGGACGTCACAGGTCTGACCGTTTTCAGCGTTTTTGTACTTTAGATGAAAGCGGGACTAGCAGAGCGTTTACAACATTTCCACTCTGGAGGTTTTTATCACTTTGTTACGTTTTTATCTCCTGAAAACACAGTTGCCGTCTAAACTGACCCCCCTAAACGAAACTAAATGTTTCCGTTTTCTATGGCGACCGTTTCCGCCTTAGCCAATGAAACAGCAGAACACATTCATCATGAGACCCTCTGCTCAGTTTAGTATTAGCTGTTTTCACATGAATATTTCAGACGCTGAGCTGCACAAATGTCGTGAGGATTCTTCCTGCTGTCTGTCGCTCTGACCGGCTCCGGTGGGGCTCATTGTCCTTATCTCACTCATGCATATTAGATGCATGTTTCCTTTTCAGGGTGTGCAGTGAGCCAACGCCGCGTACACGCTGAGGAATCAAAGGCTGTAAATAAACACTGGCTGCTGTTTATACCTCTCACATATGGATTTTAGTGCCTGTGTGATCTCCAAAGGCCGTTGGGCGCGCTCCAGTCAAACTGGGCGACTCATCCTCAGGCGCGGAGCTCCAAATAAAACAGAACCGCCTCGCCAAGCAAAACCAACTACAGAGCTATTTTCCACCGTCTGTGTGGCCAGGCAAAATACAAGGAAACCATTTCAAGCCCGAGGCCTCCCCAGATCAAGAAACACTAGATCAGACAGATTGATGAAAAGGTCCAGTCAACACACTGTCAAGGCCTTTCCTAAAGTTGTCGGCCTCCTCCGCGGGGGTTTGAGCATTGAGCTTCTCCCAGCAGGAGGGCTCAGAAACCTCCTGAACTTAACGTACTCACTTTTCAAACCAATAACTTTTACTCCTCTCACTGTTTGAGTCCGACACGTTGATCCTGAGTTCACAAATTGATTCAAGAGCGTCCAAGTCTCTGCACAGATCTTCTGCTGCTCCTCACAGGTGCTGCGTTCACCTGTTGCCAACGTCTCACTCAGTCTTGCAGCTGCTCTCTGCTTTTCTTCTGTGTGGATGTCTCTCTCTCTCTCTCTCTCTCTCTCTCTTCGTGAAGCTGCAGTGTCAGGGTCCTCAGGGCCTCATGGAGGGACTTGACTCGACTATCCTCTTTCAAAGACGAGTGAAGAGGACCACAGAACATCCTCACCCAGCTGCTTGGATGGAAACCCGACACCAGCGAGGCCCTGTGGGACCAGTCGGCACAGGAAAGCCGGGGATTACGGCCTCCTGTCGTCCTTGGCTGACACTTCACCTGGACTCGGAGTAAAAATCCTGCACAACAAAGTCTGAGGTAACAAAAGTGAAAACATCTTTGTTGCATTGAGGCCTCAGTCCTCATGCAGCTTCAGCGTGTTACTTTATCCCTCTAAATTTGATTGTCTTGCTTCTTTTCTGCATTAAGAGCTGCTCCAGAAAAACCGCTCAATCAGGAACCGCCGCCGCTGATGACTCCTCCTGTGCCTATTCGGCTGTTTAGCGGCAAACGTGATTAAGTTTCATTTCAGGAAATTCTTTCCATGCTGTTTTTTCGTTCAGGCCGGGGCACAGCGCTGCCTTGAAACTATATGACAGACCTGCTGCAGAGCCCCAGAGTCTGCAAAGAAAAGAGTCTTTATCTGCCGCTGACTCCAACTCATTACCATGAACGACACCTCGCCAAAAACAATCAGTCTTTTTTCAGTCAAAAGGAGAATCAGCAGCTTGATACTTACCTGTCGGGTTGACAGAATCCACACCGTAGGCTTTTCCTCGTCTAACTCTTCTTTGCATTTCCAATAACTGAACTGCTGTGATTGTAAATCTCCACATGCCAAAGCTCCATTAAGACTGCAATTAACAAAGACCATTTCATTTCCTAGAGCAACAACACCTCCACATAAATCACTCCTTTGACTGTTTTGTTTTCGCACAATGAATCAAGTGTTTGGCAGCGTCCGCAGACTTTAATAACAGCTACAGAGGATGGCGCAGTGTTCTGACTTGCACCTCTGAACAGCCTGCAGTGATGGAATAAATGCAGCGTAAGAATTCACCTGGATGACATTGTCGGGGAGTCGCATTTAGATGCACGAGTCTGCAGAGGACAGGTGGACACCTACCGACGAACTCCTGCGACTAAAACTGCACTTGAGTGGCGTGTGATGAAGGAAATTATACAAATGAGGGCGACGTGCATGAAATAAGTTACACAGACTTGATGGAGGGAAAAGTTGGTGGGGGGGGGTTGTGTAAACTAATCTGCTGTCTGTGCTGTCGACCCTCTGCTGAGCGAGCAGCTGCAGAGCCGTCAAGGTGAAGTGAGCAGAGCAGGAGCAGCAACAGGCAGGAATTACTCAGCAAAAGAGACAAAGAGGAGGGCAAAGAAATAAAGAGTCTGAGTTTCACTTTTTGTTAAGAGAGTAGGAAAACTTCAAACACTCTCTCTAGTTAGGTGTTTATTTGCTTTATTATTAAAACTCTAAGTCAGAGGCCCTGATGAAAGTCTAAGTTAAGAAACATTTTCTCCTTCCTGCAGAGTTTCATTTATTGTTTTATGTTAGCGGTCTTGTGTATTTCTTGCTTTTATATTCGATTTAGTTGCACTGAGCTGTGAGTTACTCCAGACAGGGACAATCACGTTTATGCCATCTCAAAAGTATGAAAGAGGATTAGAGCCACATGAAAAAAAAGAAAATAATTACAGGAAGAAGACTAAAGTCAAAATTTCAAGATTAAGAAATCATAATTATGTCAAACGTTGAAATTTCGAGATTAAAAATAGAAATTTCGAGATTACGAAATGTTGAAATGTCATGAATAATGTCAAAATTTTGGGATTACAGTCGAAATTTCAAGATTGAAATCGACATGAATCAAGTCAAAATTCCGACTTTTTTTTAGTTTTGACTTTAATCTTGAAATGGAAATATAAAAAAAATCCCTCCTGCAACTATTTTTCTCTCTTCTCGTGTCCCTAATCCTCTATCATACAAAAATCTACAATATTTGCAGAATATATTTGCACTCAGCAGCTAGATTGATCAGCTCTGACTGTAAAGGTCTGCGAGTCTCATGTCAGAGTAAATCGGTGCACAGATGATACTCGGTTCAGAGGGAAGTACTGAGTCGATGTGTTTGTTCACATTCCTGGGAGCCAGCTCCTGTTGGCAGGTCGTCCTCCTGAGCCTGTTAGCTCTCCCGGCTCCACGTGTTTATGTCTTGGGTTTCTCTCCTTCTCCCTCCCTCTCCAAATATTTTCTAATGCCACTGAAGAATGTCTGAATGTTGTTGAAGAAGTGGAGCGCTCAGACCCAATGAGCGGGATCCTTGTTTTTTCTTCCAGCTGATACTTTACGAAGAGGCTCAGCAGAAACTTTCCCTCCTTACCCACTGAATATCTCAGAGAGGCGTAAACATAAATAAAAAGCTGAATTTGTTTTTTAACGCTCAGATTTTTGTGTCTTTTTAAACTTGAATGACTTCTTTGTTAAGTTTCAGGACGTGAGGCTAAAAATAA